TGAGGCTGAGAGCATGTGACTTGCCCAAGGTCACCCAATGGGTTTCGTAACTGAAGAACCTTGTATCGCTCTGTAAATAAAAAGTTCTCTCATTGAGTTCAGGTGGGCTCCTACTGATGTTTTCTTTTCCTGCCATCCACTTTCTTGTTTGTCTAGGTAATTTCTTAATTGTCTAAGTATTTTCCTGACTATTAATGTGAGTTGCTCTTGGGAGCAATTGATTTTAATGCATCTGGACTGGACTATGTCCTCAGAGCTGCTCAAAAGTAATGTGCTCATTCCTTGACGGTGCCAGATTTCTTTGCTATAAAAAATCATTTACTACTTTTAGTAGTCTGAGCTGAGCAAAGTGAAAAGCCTTGGGCAGTTTTGGGAGCTCCCAAGGGCCTTCCAGCATTACATGGATCACTTTTTAAAAAAAAGTAATGGGAGAACATACTCCCATGTGTACAAATTTACCAAAATTCCTATCCATATTCAGGAGAGAGATCTTTTAAAACCAAAAAAATGAAAGCTGGTTACCATAAGGTTCTGATTTACTTTTTGGCATTAGAGAAAGGCATCTCTGGGTGCTAAAACAGTCCAAGTAAGGGATATTGTGAATTTACCCCTGCCAAATAATTTGCTCTTGTGTGTCTTCAAGTCGGTTCTGACTTACTGCGAACCTATCATGAGGTTTTCTTGGCAAGATTTGTTTAGAGGTGGTTTGCTGTTGCCTTCCCCTGAGGCTGAGAGCATGTGACTTGCCCAAGGTCACCCTGTGAGTCTCATGACTGAGCAGGAAATCGACTATCCAGAGTCATAGTCCAATACTCAAACCGCTATGCCGTCTAGTCATTCCTCAGAGGGTCATGTTGTTCAGCTGGTTGCTAAGAAATAAACCTGCTTTCCCTTTCCAGTACCTTGATGTATAAATTCCAGAGCTTGTAAATTTTGTGTAGCAATTTACAACAAAGAAATAAAGTGCAAGAGTGTACTTTTTTTAAGGGAAGAAGAGCTTGACAAGGTGAGGGCCTTTTCCTCTTTGCAAGTTTGCAAGTTTATTTTTGCAATCATAATGCAACTTGGCTAGAAATCATCTGGCTCTCCAAGCGGTGTTCGACTGCAACTCCCAGCATTGTGCATCATTGGCTGGTTAAGGTTGCTGGGTCTTGCAGTGCCTCTGGAGGGTTGCCTGATTCCCACCCCTTGCTATAACTTAAGTAGTAGCTGATTATATGTTACTAATGTGTAATTATGTTTAACAAAATGAGCAATTTGTTACTTAAATGTTTCAAATACTAGTGTAACCAAAAGTAATGGCAATAATTGCCTGGTGGTTAGCACTTTTCTGTTTGTGCTGAAACATTTGAAAGTGCAAGTCTAGGCATCTGATGAACTAGATTATACTTTGTGTCCATTTAAACCATAATAACATTA